CCAGCTTAAGCCTAAATTTAGACTAAATGGAAATTTTAAATAGGAAAAAGCCTTTGTTTCTGCAGTTTAGTCTTAGACCAAGCCTAATCCCTGTCTATGACATTGACTGTATGGATCTGTTTCCCAGACAGAGATTAAGCCTAGTCTTGACCTACACACTATTCTAAAAGGAGATTCTGCATTGAAGGGGAAATAGAGTCCAGGACTAGGTTTTACTAGGTAGAATTACTATTTCCATTGAAACACAGCGATTTTTCAATTACAAACCGTTAATTGGATTAACAAGTCGTCTCACCATCATGACGAACGTGCTGAGAGTTTCTGCTAGTCCAACTCGAACATGCTTCTTCCTCACACAGCACATGGAGCGTCCCCTGGCCCTACTCAGCTCTTCAGCTTTGCCTTCCTCCAGCATGCTCAACTGTTCTTTCATTCTCTACTCTCGCTTCCGTCTGAGCCTTCTTCTTTCAGTGGGTTTCACACTGGTTGAATTGAGGAAGCTGTACTGAGCGTGTAGAGTGTCAAGAGCTTAGTTTTTTTGCTGCTCTCTTGCTTCCTTTGTCTTATCTTTTCACGTGGCTACATGTGTTGGGTGTCCTTTTACTCGTCCCTCCCCATTACACACCCCCATAACAGCCCTATAGTCCTCTGGGTAGGAGTATGGCCTGGGTATGGGCAGAGTGCAGTGGGCTCTAGGGCCTCTGATCAAAACACACCAGTTCCCACGCCAGTTATTTTAAGTGCTCTGGAAAAAATATGAAAATGCATGCATTTTCTGTTTCTGAGCTTTATCAGATAAGGAGGTTCCTATGACCTTACCATTACATTACTTTACCATTACCTAATAACATAAACAAATGCAGAATTTGATCTAAATCAGCTCAACCTCACACACCATAGAAGAGGTATAAACAAGTTCAGCTTTTACAACCATCCATAGATCAATTGCTCTCCTATTATCTGTTTAGCTCAAGGTGTAGCCGAAGCTGCAAAGTCTCCAGTCAAGTAGGTGTTATTTCAACACTGAAGATTTCACTGTAGGTGATCAACTAACCAAAATAAATACGTGTATATTTATGGTGGTGCCTCATTATATACAGTACTAGCAAATGTCAGAGCAACATCCTTCACTTATTTTATTTCCAGTCAAAAGAGCAATTAAGTACAAGTCATTCAGTTTTCATGAGATATTTCTGAGAAAACCAGATATGAGATAAACCACTTGCATAATGAAGGTGAAAGTCCAAAGAAAGTGGAAAGTTTCCAAAACGATCAAAAAATGATTAAAGAATATAGTGAACATGGGACTCCTAACAATCATGCAAGACCTGTTAGACCACCAACAATGTCAGTATCAGATAAACAGCACTTAACACTTTCACTTTTCAGAGAGAGGAGAAAATCAAGCTCCACTCTTGCTTCGGATAAGAAAAAATCCACAGGTGATTCTGTTCATCCTTCCACCGTGGAAAGACAGCTCAGCGCTATGAATCTGAAAGGATGTGCAGCTGTCAAGAAGCCGTCAGTGAGAAGATGAAAATTGCAAATTAAACAGAGAAGCTGCTGGTGTTCTCAGAACAGTGGACATCACAGTCATCACAGGAAGGCAGGTACCCAGAACACTCTCAGAAATAAAGGTAGGAAACTGTCACTGGGGCAGTACCCCTCTTGTCACTGGGGTGGTATCCTCAAGAATACATCTCAGTACCTTTAGTCTGGGAACACAGCTGTACCATAATCCATTGAAATGATATTTTCTAAGTTGTATTGACTCCACACACCCCGTCTCGTCTCCAGGCTTTTTATTTTATTGTTCTGTTTTAAAACATTAGGTTATGAAAAGATATAAATATGAACTTTTCACCTGGAAAAAAACTTTTTTAAGGTTCACAATTGGACGTTAAATCCACTGTTGTACCGTTGAGGGAATATTTACATTGTTTGTACCTTGATGACCGAAAAATGTACCTGCACAGAACCTATATTTCTAACAATGAAGACAAATCCATTTAACAGAACCCAGAAACAAAACAAGTGTTAAACTTAGAAAAATATTACACAAAGGAAGCACAGTTCAGGACTTAAAAAGTAGAAACACAAAAGCTGTGTTCCATTCCACAGGGTCCCTAAGCGGTACTGTTAGGTTCCCTACACACTTGAGCACAGGGTGACAGTTAAGAGAACCGCAGTTGATAGACATTTTGGTTCAGATTGTCCTGCAGAGTCATAAGGCGCATTCCGATCACCCTCATAGTTCCCTTCAAAGTGTACAGCACAGGGTATTTATACCCTGTATAAATAAGGAATGTAGGGAGCAAACAAATTCCATTGGAGGGGAACTTCAGACTGCACTGGCAGTAGCGAACAACGGTTTATCACTTTACTGGAATCTGCAGGAAATTCTACCCATCAGTCTTTGTGGGTCTCTTGAACCTGACTTTTATTTATTTATTGAAAAGAAAAAAGCAGTGACTCTAGAATAGCTACATAGCTAAGAAAGCAAGAAAGAAAGAAAGAAAGAAAGAAAAAAAGAGTGTGCTTGTATATTTGCATCCTTGAAAATAACAGCAAATGTTAATGTGTGTAAATACACAGAGGAGAAGTGGGTAAACTTCAGACTATTAAATGCACATTCACATTGAAACACTTCTCTTTTTAACTCTACCTTGCTATCACCATACTTATAAACAGTGATAGCTATAATAGCTATAATAGTGAGACTAATATAACTAATTTGATCAGACCTACTGGGGTTAATGGTGGAATACTAATGGCAACACAGTAATGGGCACATGAGTGGACTGCATGTCTATCAGTGAGTTGCCTGTGTTTATTCAGTGCCTGCTGTGCTGAGATACTGCACATCACAGCTAACAGCCTACGCCCTCTGAGACATTCCAACTGGTGCACTATTAGTATCAAAAATCGAATAATTGTAAGGCTGCTGCATACACGCTAGATTGACAGACAAATCTCAGTCTGCAGTCGAACTTCTTTGTTAAAAGCTCCCTGTCCTCCATTTTCTCTTTTCTCCTTTCTGAAGTCCACTTTTGACATTTGCGTGATTTTTTTTTTTGCACCAAAAACCGAACGGAGTTTTCTGTTATTGTGCCTGTAAGACTGACATATAAACGATCTCTCTTCTGATTGGCTGCCTCTGTTCTGAACTGCCTCTCCATGTAACCTCAGTGAGAATGGGTGGAGCTAAACTACTATTGGATGAATAGGTGGATGGGTGGATATATCAAAATGCATTAGCTTTTGTGAGGCTGTTCAGTTTGTTTCTGCAGAGTAGTTCACACATATGGACTGTGTGGGCTGGAGAGTCAATAGTACGTTTTGTAACAAAGTTTACTTTCTACATCAAACTCAAAAATTCGGTTTTCTACGGGGCCCTGCTGGTGACATTCCATATAAATAAAATTAATGCGTGGCCACAACTTAGTAAGGCGTGGGAACGAGATAATTAAGTCATGGGCCAACTTCATCAGGCATGTGAACGAGATACTAAATTGAGCCCTGACCACAGCTTAATAAGGCATTATCTTGTTCTCACGCTTTACTAAGTCATGGCCACAACTTAATTAACTCATTCCCACACCTTACTAAGTCTTGGCCACACATTAGGATCTCATTCCCATGCTTTAGTTTGGCATGGTCACACATTATTTTTATATATTCAGGATGTCACCAGCAGGGCTCCGTAGTTTTCCATGATATGGGACACAGCATTAGTCTGGACCCTCAGCTCCACCAGGTCACCCAATCCAGTATATGAGGATCTCACAGGCTGCTGTAATAACACAGTTGAACCACTTGAGGTCATAATCATTCTGGATTGAGTGCCAGTGTGATTTCACTTCCATGTGTGTGCATGTAAACAAACGAACAGTTGATGTACTGGTTTAAACTGGTTTTACTTTCGAAGGAAAGGAGATAAGCCAGGCCGGATACCCTTTTTTGAGGGGCGTGTGGTGTAGACTTTTTGCAAGTTTAGAAACCATTTTTAATCTCATCGGCTGGAGGAGCAACGGAGTAACTCCTGATACGAGAAGGAAAAAAACTCTTATAATGTCAATGTAATAAAATGATTAATAAAATATATATATATATATATTATATATATATATATATATATATTTATAAAATATTTATAAACATATATATATAAAATGTAAAATAAAAAGTAATTTTATATATGATTTGCTCATTTTACTCATTTTGTCATGAAACATTCACAATCCAAAGGGCGGCTGGTGTTAATGGCATAAAGAAATAAAGTAATAGAAGGACAAAATGGATTTACAGGGTATCATAGGGAGCTCCTAAGGGGCCGTGGTTTTAAAAAAAAAAGTTAATGACATTGCATTCTCTCGCAAATGTTTTGCGTTCCCTTGCAAATGTTTTGGGTTCCCTTGCAAATAAAATGCGTTCCCTCGAAAATATATGCTGGTCATACAGCAAGCAAAGGTAGGACCAGAGGTGCCCAACTACACTGCCTACATTAGAGCTTTGTTTTTAGCATATTTAACGTTAAAAGCCCAGTTCCGCCAGTCTATGCTGGGTTTATTCAGCAATTGTTCTCTACAGTCTCTGTACATGTAGCTTTAACTGTACGAGGACACTCGACCTCAGTTTCAGTTTGCGTCGCTAACAGCAGAATCTTGTTTGATTTTGAGAAGAAAATTCAGTGAGCTGCTTCATGTCTGAGCTTAAGCAAAGCACAACTTTTGCAAGTGAACGCAAACCGTTGCATCGTAATGCAAAACATTTGCGAGGGAACGAAAACATTTGCGAGGGAACGCAATGTCATTTACCTAACCACGACCCCTTAGGGGCTCCGTAGTATCAGACCAAATACATATGGAATAATAAAAGTTTGGCTTACAATAAAACAGAGTAACACACACTGGAGCAAAGCTGGAGTTCATTAGTGTCGCCTATCAGCGACTGTGGGCTCTTCAGATCAAAGGGGCCGGTCCTGGTGAAGTCTGCTTAGTTTAAGAGCTCTGCCCACAGCCACCATGGCCAGAGGAGCGCGCTGGACCTCTGTGGGTCAAGAGTGCTAAACCGGGCTGTGCTGGATTTTATTGGGCATCAGAGTTGAACTGGATTGTAGTGCTGGACTTTGCTCGCGCGCGGGTATTCGTCTCCACCGAGAGCGCGCAGGTTGCCGTCGCTGACTGAAACACCCCGCAGCGCTGTGAGCTGGAACTTGTCGCTCTCCAAATGACCTGGCACTACACGGATCTCTTCTCTCACCCGCTGTGGTTCGTCTGCACCATGGTTCTGGGCTTGGTGACGCGCGCGCAGCGGAGAGGCCGCTGGCTCCCGCGCGCGTGTCCACTTAAACTCACGGGCAAAACAGCGATCGTGACCGGAGCGAACACAGGTACACTGAGCCCACCACACCACACCAGCGGCACCATTAGCGCCTTTAATCGTCTTTAAGTCCTTAATGTGTATTACCTTTATTATTACCAGGTTTTCAGAACATTTCTTTATTTATGAAAGGGGAATGCCACAGGTTTTTCAAAATTTCTGTATAATTCAGTTCTTGAGATGTAAACAACGTCATTCAGAGTGGTTTGATGCGGTAGGGTACATTGCAGAGAAACGTAAAGGGCAACTCCACCCATTTTTCAAAATATCTGTATAATTTAGTCCTTGTGATGTAAACAAAGTCATTCGAAGTGGGTTGATATGAAGTAGTGTATTGTAGAGAAACTTATTTAGATTTCTTTAGAGTGATGGTGATAGTACCCAGGAGTCTCATGTCTACAATGCAGATAAAGCCATTTTATTTAGTGTTCAAAACCCCTAGCGAAGCTACACGTCATCTGAGTTTTTATAATGATGATGATGGTAAAACAGTCATTAATCTGAAAAAAAAAAGTTTTCTTTGGGAACTGTTTCGCCTTAGAATGCCCTTCATGTACTCCTCCACCCTTCAAGTACACCCTCCTTCATGAATTGATTCAAATAAATTGATTAAAATGCATTTTAGACCACAACATTATCACACGACCACCATAAAACAATGTCTCAGCCAGTGTATTCATAAGCATTTCATGTGATAATTTTCTGTGAGGAAGCTTTTAGAGACATTACGCTCTTCAGAAATCTGGTTCCTATCACCACCACTGTGAACAATTCTGAGTTGGTGGAGTTCCCCTCTAGCGACTTATATTTCTTTACAGTGATGGTGATTGGAACCAGGGGGTCATGATGTCTACATGCAAACATAGCCATTTAATTTACTGTCCAAAATGACCAGTGAACCTGTGCATGACTACTGAGTTAAATGTAATGTTGATGATATTAAAATATTGATAAATTGAAAAAATATAATAAGTATAAATAGTAAGGGTGACTATTTTGCCCTGCAATACCCTCTGTGTATATTTCCACCATTAATGCATTTAAGAAATAAGTAAATAAATATATTTTGTGCCAAAACCTAATCTCAAAACCATAATGAAACAATATCTCAGGCATACAGCAATGGACTGTAACCACTTCATGTACTAGCTTTCTGTGAGGGAGCTGTTCGAAGCATTAAACTCTTCAGACATCTGGTTTATATCACCAACACTCTGTAAGGTTCTCTGCAGCAGTACATTTCACCTCTAACCACTCCGAATAACTTGGTGTTCAATTAAATATGCAAAATCTTTGAAAAACAAGTGAAATTCCTCTTTAAAACCTTAGGTTTCACTTAAATGAGCAAAATTAAATTCATTTAACCCACCATACACATTGTACAGACTGACTGTTTGCACTAGGCCACAGCACTGGTCATGAAGTATATAAAGTCATTGTGCTAAAATACACAAAGTTAACTCTATGTATCAATCAAATGTGCATTATTGAGAATAACATATGAAAAACATAATGTAATACACTATAAAAATGTTTAGCTGTCTTAAAAAAGTAATTCAGCTTGCTGCAATAAAATTTTGAGTTCAGTGAACTTCAAATGATAAGATAACAGAACATAAGACATTCTATCTCATTCTGTTAGAAGTTCAATGATATTGCAGCAAGTCGACTTACTTTTTAAAGTTAATACATTCAAAATTGCATTATATAAGAGTAGACTTAGGGATTAGGGTCATTAAATAGTTAATTTTATTCTGCAGTCTGGGCACTCAAGTACAATTTGAAGGTGTTTGTCATTTTTTCCCATGTTTTCATTTTAGTCCTCCACATTATATTCCAAAAGCCTGGGTTTAATTTTATTGTATCCTGATGGTAACATCATCTACTGCTTTGCTTTTACTCATATCCTCCAATTTGGAGCATAAGCATTTTAAAGATCCGAACAGTGCAAAAAATGAGAAGTCTACTCAACTAACTGGCACTTCTTCTATCACACAGTCCCATCTGGCATTTTTTCCTTGTGGGGATTTCATTTTTCACATTTTTTACAGTGAAAGAGAGAAGAATCCAACAGCATTTCACACTCTTCAGTTTCTATGCTAATAGTTGCTGGATGTACTAAGAACTCTCCTGCAGTTCCATAGAAAACATACTTACTTTTGCTCATACTTGAGTCATTGTTTCATTAGAAGTAGCAGCACTTTTGCTGGAGTATTGCTTAAGGCCTCTTTATTCTTCTTTGCATGAGAATAATCTCATTCATAAGGACAGAAAGTGTTCATAAATACTTAATTCCTTAAATGGCCCACCAGCAAGCCCACCAAAGTTTTATTACACACTTCTATAAACTAAGAATAGCTCAGGCAGTTTGCACTGAAATACCTATAGTTACTGAATAATAAGCCTTAGTATGTAATATGCCTAAGATTTTAGCAGGTTAGAAACAATGGCAGCGTACTACTGAAATCACCTAGTTTGCCATATGTCATAGGATGTGCAGACAGGATATAACAAATGCCTTTGAAGTATTTATGCCTTCACTGATGACCAGTTGTATGTATTGTATGTACAGATGTATGCAAGGGCTTGAACACATCTAGTCCAATTACATGCTTTGTTTATTTTCTAAGAGAAAATATGTTAACACTACAGCTCTACAGGGAACAAATGTAAACATTTAAAACTTTTTTTTTCTCCCCAATGCACAACTTCTGTTTATTTGAAAGAAATAAACACAAAATATAACATTTTAGGCCATTTTATTACTTTTCCCAATATATTAAATTTAGCAACTAAACAGTAACTGTGTATTTAAATGTGCAGTAGTGTTCTCCATAGAGAATTTGTTAAAGGGGAATTCCACCAATTTTTTTAATTTTCTGAATAATTCAGTCCTTGAGATGTAGACGGAGTCACTCGGAGTGGTTTGACGTGAAATGGTTCATTACAGAGAAACTTACAGACTCTGAATATCTTTACAGTGATGGTGATAGGAACCAGGAGTCACAATACCAATATAGCCATTTTATTTACTATCCAAACCCACCAGTGAACATACAGGTACCTTCCAAGTTTTATATGTTGATGATGGTAAAAAAGTGATGAATCTGAAAAAATAAGCTTTTCTGGGGGACTATTTTGCTTCTATCTAACCATTTCATCTGATAGCTTTCTATGAGGGAGCTTTCAGAGGCATTACATTTTTCAGATGTCTGGTTCCTATCACCACCACTGTGAACAATTCTGACTTGGTAAATTTCTCTAGATTGGAGCATTTTGCACAAAACTACTCTGAGTGACTTTATTTGCATTTCAACCATTTAATCGTCTAGATTGTTATTATTCACATGTCATTATTCACTTATTATTCACATAGAAAATCAACAAAACATGTCATTTGACCAGGGGCACCTAATCTTTTTCACGTGACTGCATCTGCTAACAGTGTCGATTGTTGTGCCAAGGCTGGTACCCTCCAAATTATTGAGTTCAGGTGTTACAGCCACACCCATTGATAACAGGTGTATAAAATCAAGCACATAGCCTTGCAATCTCAAAAGACAAACATTGGCAATAGAATGGGTTGTACTGAAGAGCTCAGTGACTTTAAACGTGGCACTGTCTTAGGATGCCACCTTTGCCACAAGTCAGTTTGTGAAAATTCTGTCCTGCTAGATCTGCCCCAGTCAACTGTAAGTGCTATTGTTATGAAATGGAAGCACCTAGGAGCAACAACAGCTTAGCCACAAAGCGATAGACCATGCAAACTCACAGAGAAGGGCAAACAAGTACTGAAGCGCACAGTGCCTATCCTCTGTTGAATCTCTCACTAAATTGCCTCTGGAAGCAACATCAGCAAAAGAACTGCGCATCAGGAGCTTCACACAATGGGTTTCTGTAACGAAGGAGGCTTTGAGGCAGGATGCAAGTGCGAGTTGCTTTTAATTAAAGGAGGTTCAAAGTCCAAAAACACAGAGCCAGTGGTGAGTGGAACAGATAAATCCATGACAAAACAAAGTAAACCAACATTACACAAGAGACCACAGCAGGGTATATAGACACAATGCAAGACACCGGGACTGAGAAAACACAGGGGTATAAATACCAACAGAAAACGAGAAACACCTGAGACAAATAAGAGGGCGGGGCAGGGAGACAAAGAACAGGTGAAGACAGGGCAGGACAGGGGAGGAGCCAACATGACAACAAAAGCACATGTCAGATAAACAAAAACACACAGCACTAGGAAACCAAGAAAAAGGCAAAAACACAGAAAGACCAGGCGAAAGAGTGAACAGATGTTACAGAAGCCTCCCCTCTAACGCGCAGCTCCCGAGGCGCGAAAAGGAACACACCACGGGAGCTGTCTCAGAGGGGAAAGCTGAAAACAAGAGCTGGACAAGAGACAGACCTAAGAAACTAGACAGGAATGCACAGGAAACTGGACAGGGGAATGGACAGGAAACTAGTCAAAAGACTGGACATAAGACTAGACAAAGTGCTGGATGGGATACTGGACTGTGGACTGAACAAAGGATGGGACAAGACATGGATTATGAGGCTGGACAGAAGAGGAAACATGAGACAAGACTGGAGACGAAACTTTAGATGAAAGTGGAACGAGAACAGGAGACTGGACTGGAGATGAGACAGGAGGGAAAACTGAAGATGGCACTGGAGAACAGAGAGGAAACTGGACCTGAGACAAGACAGCAGACGAGACAGGAGACTGAGCTGGAGACCGAAGACAAAACATGAGGCGGGACTACGGGCTGGACAGAAGATGGGATAAAGGACTGGACAGTGGGACAGACAGGTGACTGGAGAAAAGACTGGGTAGGAGGCTGGACAAATGGCAGAACAGGAGAGGAATTCAATACAGACATGGGTACAAGAACAGACAGGGTCACTGGTACAGGGACAGACACATGAACAGGGATGGGTACCAAAAGACCAGACACAAAAACAGGAACACTGATGGAGACTGGTACAGGAATATACAAGGTGATGGGGACAGAAACAAAACTATGGAGTGGAGATTGGGCAAACACAGAAGGAAACACAGAATTGGGGTCAGACTGAGAGAGCTGGAAGTGTGGTCTGGCAGGGAACTGAAAAGGTGGCTGAGCAGGGACTGGAACAGGATGTGGAGGAGACCATGGAACGTAACGTGGAACTGAAGCGGGAGCAGGGCGCTGAGGGGCCTGCGCTGGAGCGGGGCGCTGAGGGGCCGGCGCTGGAGCGGGGCGCTGAGGGGCCGGCGCTGGAGCGGGGCGCTGAGGGGCCGGCACAGGAACCGTAGAGGCCCTCGGAGCAGGAACAGGAACAGGAGAGGCCCTGGGAGCAGGAACAGGAACCGGAGAGGCCCTCGGAGCAGGAACAGGAAAGGAGAGGCCCTTGGAGCAGGAACACGAACAGGAGACATAGGAACTATAGGCAGGTCTGGAGACTCGGAGGCCGGCTGGTCAGGGAAATCAGAAACCGGCTGGCGAGGAGACGCTGCGCTGTCCTTGGGTACGGGCTGGACCACACTGACGTCCTTGGAGGCAGGCGGGCCTGCTGCGACGTCCTCGGGGGCAGGCGGGCCTGCTGCGACGTCCTCGGGGGCAGGCGGCCCTGCTGCGGCGCCCTCACCAGAAGGACGGCCCCCTGGCTTAGCAGAGGCCTCAAGAAGCAGCTCCTTGCACAGTAACTGAGAAAATCTTGCTTGCAGCAACTTAAAAAATCCCTCCACAGTCCTTGCTTCTTTAGCCCTTTTCTAAAGGACAATATCAGCCCACTCTAGGGCCTTGCCCCTGAGAAAAGTCTGTAAGAACAAAACTTTTACAATGTCTGGTGGGGGAGGACATTGTAAATATTGAAGGTAGAATCTGCACTGCATGATAAATCCCTCACAAGTGTCATCTTCACCATCATACTCACTAGGGGTGGCCATTAACGAAGGAAGGAGAAGAGATTCCCCAGACTGGAGAGCAGAGAGTAATTCTTCCAGATATTTATGCTCTCCCTCTTGGGGGAGAACAAGACTCGCTGCATCCTTGTTTGGTCTTGCATTCTGTAACGAAGGAGGCTTTGAGGCAGGATGCAAGTGCGAGTTGCTTTTAATTAAAGGAGGTTCAAAGTCCAAAAACACAGAGCCAGTGGTGAGTGGAACAGATAAATCCATGACAAAACAAAGTAAACCAACATTACACAAGAGACCACAGCAGGGTATATAGACACAATGCAAGACACCGGGACTGAGAAAACACAGGGGTATAAATACCAACAGAAAACGAGAAACACCTGAGACAAATAAGAGGGCGGGGCAGGGAGACAAAGAACAGGTGAAGACAGGGCAGGACAGGGGAGGAGCCAACATGACAACAAAAGCACATGTCAGATAAACAAAAACACACAGCACTAGGAAACCAAGAAAAAGGCAAAAACACAGAAAGACCAGGCGAAAGAGTGAAGATGTTACAGTTTCCATGACCGAGCAGTTACACACAAGCCTAGGATCAAAGTGCTCAATGCCAAGCATCAGCAGGGAGTGATGTAGAGCACACTGTCACTGGGCTCGGGAACATTACCTGCCTGACTGCACTGTGGCAACTGTAAAGTTTGGTGGAGGAGGGATAATTGTATGGGGTTGTTTTTCAGGGGTTGGCCTAGAACCCTTAGTTCCAGTGAAGGAACATCTTAGACTTCATCATACCAATAGATTTTGCACAATTGTATGCTTCCAACTTTGTGGGAACAGTTTGGGAAAGACCCTTATCTGTTCCAACATGACTGAACCCCAGTGCACAAAGCAAGGTCCATAAAGGCATGGCTGGGTGAGTTCGGTGTGGAAGAACTTGACTGGCCCGCACAGAGCCCTGACCTCAACCCCATCAAATAACTTTAGGATGAACTAGAACGGAGATTGTAAGCCAGGCCCTCTCGTCCAACATCAGTGCCTGACCTGACAATTTCCACATGTGTAGTGTGTAGATGTCCCAATACTTTTGTCCATATAGTGTAAAGTCCGCATAAGATCTACAGTTAACTGTCCTGTAAAAGTCATTGCGTCTTTTGGCTTCACTGTGTGGTTTCTCTGCAGCTGTAATGATTTAGTGACCCATGTCCAGGTCCAAAGTAGTAAGACGTGTAGCTTGTTCTCCCTTGTTTGTCAGCCTACACTCTAAAAAAGTGATGCGTTAAATAACAACACACTAACTTGTGTTACACATTTTAACACTGTTTGGGTCATATTGTTTTTGATTTAACACATTTTGTATCAGAAGTAACCCAAAATGTTTCATCCATGACTGGGTATGGAAATATTTCGACACATTTGGTGTTAAAAGTGGCACAAAATGTATCGTTTCCAACTGAACACATATGTCTAGTTAGAGACAGAATGTGTTGGTTTTCTTTTTTAGGGGTGTAATGTGAAACAAGTTACTCACACAGTAAACAGCTGCAGAGGAAAAAAAACCTCTTGTTTCTTTTTTGGACTTTGGACTGTGTAACTCAAGCCTCTTGAGGAGTTTAATGAGAATTTGATAAACATCTGTGTCTGGAAGATGGTATTTCTTCCAGACGATTAGTTTCCAGCTCCCCCATTCTGTACTCTTTAGCCCAGTGAGTTTTAAAGATGCTCCAAGACACTGGTGATTATTCAACATGCAAATCAACCACATGCTGCAAAACATGGCTTTCTGAATTTACTGAAAGTGTTGTGGAAACCGTAGACAGTCGAGGGATGGGGCTTAAAAACAAGAAGAGAAGGAATTGCATATGAAGAATGACTCATTAAATGAATCATATGAAATCATATTTTTGTAATTAGTATAATTATATAAGACATATATTACACGATTAATGTGTGCACAACTGTGTGTGCAATAATTGGCCTTTTTATTGGAAACACCACCCTTGTAGCTCTTCCTTGCTGGTGTACAGTTAGAGAATGCCCATCTGTTGTGCATTCTCCACAACTGGAGACCAGTGCCACACACACACTGCCATGTTAGTGTCCCTGCTGGGCTGAATATGATCCACCACCCTTGTCAACAGCAGTGCTTTGGTTAGAAAGTGAAGATTGATGAACAGCATGGAGGGCGTGATCTATAGAGATGCTGCAGTCTGTATTTTCTCTACACCTACAGAACTATGCAGAGGTCAGAGACCACTCTTCATTAATTTGCCTCATGTAACGGCCATTTTGACTGGATATTAACCTCTTAAATGGCCAGGGCCCAAAAGTTTTGTTATACACTTCTATAACTTAAGAATAGCCCAGCCAGTTTGCACTGAAGTTCCTGTTGTCACAGAAAAATAAGCGTTAGTATGTAATAAGCCTGGGATTTAAGGGGTTAACTTTAAATGGCCAGGGTCCACTGGCCGGTCCAAAGTTTTACTTCACACTTCTATAACCTAAGAATAACTAAGCCAGTGTGCATTGTAGTCCATGTAGTTAATGAATAATGATGTATGTAATAAGCCTGGGATTCTAAGGGGTTAAATAAATGAAGGATGGTTTCTGACTATATACAGTACTATATATATATTGGACCGCTAATGTAGGTAGACATCTAAACATATTCAATCACAGCTTTATAGTGCAGGTTTTCCTCTTTGCAAACTAAGGTGATCCTGTATTTTCAACTTTCAACCTGTTGTTCACACTCTGCTACACCGTTTATCTATCCTCCCTCTATCTCTCTTTCAGGGATAGGAAAGTTCATTGCCTTGGACTTTGCACGACGTGGGGCGCGGGTCATTCTGGCCTGCAGAAGTGAGGCTCGTGGGACAGCGGCGCTGGAGGACATTCGCCAGCAGAGCGGCAACCAAAACGTTCACCTGCGGCTGATTGATACATCCTCCCTCGAATCCGTCCGCAAATTCGCAGCTCAAATCCTAGAGGAGGAGAAGGAGCTCCACATACTCGTCAATAACGCTGGGGCTTCAGGTATTAGTCTATGTATAAATTGGTCAGTCTATCTACTAGGGCCCAAAATTGACTGATTATGGTAGTCCACTAATTTTTCAAAATTTTTTGCATAATGAAATAATGGAAACAAAGTCACTCAGAGTGGTTTAATGTGAAATGTGACACTGTAGAGAAACCTACCGACTCTGTTTACAGTGATAGTGATAGGAACCAGATATTCAAACTGTTCAAAGCCTCTAAATGCCACACCACAGAAAGTTATCACACAGAAAGTTATTACACAAAGTGGCATTGATTTTCAATAGTTTAGAGACAGTAATTTGGTCTAAAACACATATAAAAAATTAGTCATGGTGGAGAGAGGAATTAAGAAGTCTCCAAAAAAGACTGACCACTATAATATCATTAGCAATATTACACATAAACTCAGATGACACATGTAGGTTCACTGGTCATATTAGACAATAAAATGGCTATATCATGACACCAGGTTCCTATCACCACCACTGTAAAGAACTCTGAGCTGGTATGTTTGTCTACCATTAACTGTTTCATATCAAACCGAATGATTTACACAGAAATTTTGAAGAATCAGTGGAATTTCCTTTTATATTTCCATTAATTTATCAATATCAGCAAAAGTCACAGTTAAAGCACCAGTAGCTGCTTATTTCATATTGATGAACAAACCTCTAATATTACAGTTGCTCATGTGGAGGATTTTAGTGGCTTCATGTTCATATTAACTCTACCAAGACTGCTAAGTTGGCAGTCATCAGCTTCAACATCATGGTTAGCCCTGTTAAACTGAGCGTCTCGCCAACAATCAGTTCTGAGAATTTAGTGATGGCGCCTTAATCTCATTTCATTCTGCCGCCAGAGGAGACATGGTGCATGCATGTATTTGCAAAGTAGTGATAACACAAACATGTAAAATGTATTCAAACCTAACCTTCAGCATAAAAATATTGTTATAACACATAATCTTTGTCTGAAGAGAATGGATAAATTAAGATAATTAACAGTAAGAAGAGCTAATTAGTTAGCTCTAACTAACTAATTAGCTAATTAATTTTAGACCAATCTCTAAGCTTCCTTTCTTGGCAAAAGTCTTAGAAAAAGTTGTCTTTCAGCAACTGTGTTCTTTTCTAAACCAATTTAACATCCAGGACAGGTTTCAGTCAGGTTTCAGAGTCCTTCATAGTACAGAGTCTGCTCTTCTTAACGTTTTAAATGACCTACTTCTAGCTGTGGATTCTGGCAGTTGTGCTATTCTTATTCTTTTAGACCTAAGTGCAGCCTTTGACACTATCGACCATACCATCTTGCTAGATCGCCTGAAGTATGGTGTTGGCATCCAGGGGGTAGCATTAAAGTGGTTTGCCTCATATTTAGAAAATCGAACCTTCTCTGTTAGGTTGGGTCAATCTTTCTCTTCCTCTCCAGCACCTATCACTTGTGGTGTTCCTCAGGGATCCATTCTGGGACCTATTCTTTTTTCTCTATATATGCTCCCTCTTGGGTCTATCTTCCAGAAATACAATATCTCATACCATTGCTATGCGGATGACACACAGATATACCTTCCGCTTAACCCAAGCAAAAACTGTTCCTTACATCTCTTGTTTGATTGTTTGAGGGATGTCGAGTGCTGGATGTCTAAGAATTTCCTTAAGTTAAACCAAGACAAAACTGACATTATTATCTTTAGAAATCCTGCCTCGGTTAGTGTTATAGCCAATGATCTGGGACCTTTGATTACTAATGTGCATGACCATGTAAAGAACCTTGGTTTCATCTTCAACACCAACTTAAACTTTGAGAAACAAATCAGCACAGTTGTTAGAGGAAGTTTTTATCACCTTAGAAACATTGCTAAGCTCAAAAGCATCCTGTCTTTTAAGGACCTGGAAACAGTTATCCATGCTTTTATTTCCTCTCGTGTTGACTACTGCAACTCACTGTACCTGGGTATCTGTCAGTCGAGCCTGTCACGTCTGCAGCTGGTCCAAAATGCAGCTGCACGGCTCCTGACTGGTACCAAGAAAAGGAAAAGTATAACCCCTGTACTGGCTTCACTGCATTGGCTTCCAGTAAAATACCGGGTGGAATTTAAAGCCTTATTGTTTGTTTTTAAAGCTCTTCATAACCTGGCTCCAAGTTACATTTCTGACCTCCTTCACCTTCGCTCGACCACTCGTGTTTTACGCTCCTCTAACCAGTTGTGTTTAGATGTTCCTCGCTCTCGGCTGAAATTCAAAGGTGATCGGGCCTTTTCTGTAGCTGCTCCAAAACTTTGGAATAATCTTCCACTTTTTATAAGGGAATCAGCCACAGTGGACACTTTTAAGTCCAACTTAAAAACCTATCTTTTCTCTCAGGCATTTGAGTCCTGAGCGGATTATGCTATTAGTTGTCTGTTTTATCTTGGTCGACTCGTCTTGTCATCAGTTTCCTTTATATAATTGTTTTATTGCTTTTCTGTTTTTCGTTTCTTTTATGTCTAGTTTTTTGTATTATTTTAAAATAGGTTTGTGTTATATGATTTTATTGTACAGCACTTTGGCCAGCACTCGCTGTCTTTTAAATGTGCTTTATAAATAAAGATGACTTGACTTGAAAGATGACTTGACTAATTAGCAGAAAGCAACAAAAATGATGAGAATGCAGGGAAGCTCCACCCCCAGTACCACAATATTTATAGTATTTTAGAGGTTGTGGTCATCTAATGTTTGCTTGAATGTGAAAATTAGACATCTGAGAACCAACAATTATATTTTACAATTCACAGTTGACAGAATTACATCAACCATGAAAGCATACACATTTTTGTCAGTCAATATTATCAGTTATCAGAATTTTTAGCTTCTTAAACTTGGTAAAATGGGTGAAAATCACATCAGTCAGGTCCTGCTATCAAACCAACAGTCATGTACAAAAATTTAAACTCACAAGTCAAGTTGTTGCACACTTTCTATTTATAAAATATGCCACAACTTTTGCACAGGCCACATTTCATGTTTTTGTTTTTTTGGTTTGTTTCAGCAAATAAATAGCAATTAAAGTGTGTGGAATTGTGTTCTCTGTGAAGCATGTGCTATAATATGTATTTATCCAGCACCACCTCACTCTCTTTATGTGTTTCCTTACTTATCGTGTGTGTGTGTGTGTGTGTGTGTGTGTGTCTGTGTGCATGTAAAAACAATGACTTTGTGTGCAGGCCTGCCCAGGGGAGTCACCGCAGATGGACTGGAAGTGTCCTTTGCCACCAATCATGTTGGGCCTTTCCTGCTCACTAATCTACTTCTAGGTCAGACTTCATCTTTCTTTGTCTTTAATTCAGCAGCTGCACGACATCTATGACACTCCATCCGCAATGATGAACTGCAGCATATCTGATGATTTCACTGACGTGTTGTTGATTGAGCTGTTTTCCTTTGCCTCTAATCAGACCTCCTGAAAAAATCTGCTCCGGCCCGCATTGTGAACGTTTCCTCTGTAAACCACTGGAGAGGAAAAGTGGACTTCTCTCATTTCCATGGCGATAACTTGACCTATAGGCTGGACAGTGTATACAATCACACCAAGCTCCACAATATCATCTGGACCAATGAGCTGGCGCGCAGGCTGCAGGGAACAGGTAGAACAATGCTGCAATCAGCAAACATAAAAAAATATTAGTAAGACATTTGTAAAATTGTGTAGTGCTTTTAAACTGAGTCTCACTTACAGTGGTCACCATACAACATGTAAAAAATCAGCACAATCTCAAATTTTCTCCACTATTTACTCCAGTATGTCTAAGGAGGTTTAAATGGCCTGACCGCTTATACAAGAATTTAAAGCATTTGGTTAACTGATTGAAGAACATTCCCGAGATTTCTATCTGCAGCAAAAGTTACTCCACTTTCTGACACACATAAAGTAAAAGTGTACATACGAGTGAAAAAATGTGCTTCAATGCTAAAAAAAAGTTTTTTAAGATGGTAGAATGATGTGTTTTTGTTGTGTGATCATTTTCCTAAAATTTTGCACAAAAGCCTTATAGCTCTATTTAATGTTATATTTTTTGTTGTTGTCTTTCTTCTTTTTTTTTTACATAATTTGAAAAGTTTAGTTACCCTTTAAAAATGTCCAAAAACACTTATTACATGAACTACCATTTTAAGTTAAGAATTATGATATTTAGCAAATTTAAAAGCTATATTATAGCAGCATATGAGAGGCGTCTGTACTGTCGTGTGTTTCGCATTTTGTATTTTTGGGGCAGTGTCAGTAGTATAAAACACTTCGGTACACTTGATACTTAATTAGTATCAATGATTAGTATTTTTTTTTACTAATATTATTTGTATTATTAGTATTATAGATGATATTGATAATATTTTTGGCTAGTTAACCATGAGTCATGCAGTTTTTTTCAGGAAATTTTTACACACTCCGACCTGGCGTGAGTCAGCAAACTCCAAACAAAACAAAACATGAAATGTCAGTGATGAAGAGGTTGTAGTGTTAATAAACGATTTCCCACCACCATTCTACAGGACTGTTATCCAACAGAGTTGTGAAACAATAGCATGGACTGTGTGAGCATGTTTTGCTGAGGTAATGGTCATTTACTGGTTACTTTAATGGGAAACATTCTTTCAGCACATGTTCTTTGCCTCACTGATCTAACAGCTGTGCCTTCTGCTCTCGTTACAGGCAGTCTCATTTCACATCAACACATCTTTAGAGACCCAAACTCAAGTTTACACCTGTTTTTAAAAGGTGGAGGTGACTCAAAACTAGCCGCTGCATGTCACCCAAACTTTAGTAAATTAAGCAGAATATGTAATGAGCCACACCTCTAACATCCCCCCCTTAAAAGCATATGCATGAAGAAGAGAAGCGCATTGTGCACTTTTCCATGCACACAGCACATGGACTGCCTGTTTAGGCTCATGCACCAGTTTCACACATAACACACAGGCAGAATGCGCTTGATTTGAGCCTAAAGCTGGCACAAAAGTCTCAACATATCAGGCCCTGAGTCTCTTATAATGGGAATATAGTTCCTGACCTTAACCAGGGAAAGTGCACTAAGGTCATATTCTCAAGCAAGCATGGAAGATGACTGATAACAGTTATCTTATTGTTTCACTGGAAAATTTAGTTCTGAAACACACAACAAAAAATTCCATCGCAGTGGGTAGTACTGTCGCCACACAGCAAGGAGGGCCTAGGTTCAATTCCCTGGCCGGGCTGTGTGGCATTTGCATGTTCTCCCCATGTCTGCAGCTGTTTTCTACCACAGTCCAAAGACATGTAGTCAGTTGAATTGGAGATTCTAAATGTGTATGCCTGCCCTGTGACTAGTGATCTGTCCAGGGTGTTTTCTGCCTATTGAGTAGTTGGATAGGCTCCGGTGACCCAGGAGAATAAGCAGCTTAGAAAGTGTGTGTGTGGTGCCTGCAGTTTTGAGAAATATTGGGAAGCAATGATAAGAGTTAGCAATCATTAAAGCATTTCCAGTAATCAAACATGCTGGATTGCTTTCCTTCTTGTCCAACTGAAACTTTCCAAATAATTTAGTGGAGCTTTTTCACTGTTTGTGTTTTTAATTTGTTTTCATTAAAGGCTCATGCTGAAGGCTACTCTAGGCAATGTACAGACAATCTGTGCACTACAGTACAGTTTTGCTGAATTTGCTGAAAGAGATTAGGATAAAGGTCTAAAGTCATGTGATAGCAGTTAGGGTCAAAGAAGACAAGAAGGAATGTAATCAGAAATAAAATTCCGATGCCACAGAAGAGTCACTTTTAGTTCCCTAAAGAACCATGTTTGAAAAAGGGATTTGAGAGTTTGAAGAACCTTTTAAGGGCGCATAATATTAAGATTCTGTACCAATTTAAGGGACTTATATGCTACATTTTTCTTGCATTTTATTTTTTCCCTCTGATGTCCAGTTATATCACATATGTGGCTTTATTTACCGAAAACATTCATAATTCATTGTAACCTGATCATTTTCCAGCCTCTCTTTATCCCTCAGATTTAAACAGGCTGTGTTGACACTGAGCCTTTAAGACTGTTAGATGTAAATAAGCTCTGAAATCAAAACAGGCTGATCTTAGTTTCCTTATATGCACTGTATGGACTGGGTGGTAAATTGTATGCTTTGAAACTTGAACAATGCTTTAACGATGATATATTACTTCAAACTCTCATTTACAATAATGGTTCTCTGAATAAGCATCCACTCAAAAGCATCCAATCAAAAGTGGTTCTTCTATGGCATCGAACCTTTTCAGGCACCTTGCTCACTGTAGCCCATCTGTTGTCCTACACAATTTGTCGCTATTCATCAGTGATCAGTTTCTGACTACAAGACAACTGATCAGGCATTATTTGGGTGGTGAATAGCTCTCAACGCAGCAGTGACACTGGCATGTGCCAAGCTGGGACAAGTGTACGGGTGGTTTTTACGCACATCAGTGTCACTGCTAGGTTCAGAGTGGCTCAAAAATATCCAGCCAAGAACAGCTCTGTGGTCAAAATCTGACTGTTGCTGAAGGACTAGAGGATGGCTGAAACTGTGCATCAACGAAATGGCTGAAGTCTCTAATTGTAGATCAGCATACACTCTCAGAAATAAAGGTAGTAAACTGTCACTGGGGCAGGACCCCTCATGTCACTGGGGTGGTATCCTCGAGGGTACATCTCAGTACCTTTCGTCAGGGAACATAATTGTACCATAATGAAATTATATTTTCTAAGTTGTATAACTCCACACACCCCGTCTCGTCTCCAGAACAAAACATTAGGTAATGTAAGGTATAAATTGGTACCAATTGTAAGGTAAGTTGAGGGTGCATTTACATTGTTTGTACCTTGATAAATGAAAAATGTACCTGCACAGAACCTTTATTTCTAACACTGTAGGAATCATTTGGTCTGATTTCAACAAGCACATGCTGGTTCATGTGGTTGAAAACAAGAATGATTAGCGAGGAATGAAGCATGAAAACATTTTTGATGTCACTGATACAAATCGTTCGAGTAATCAAACCTGTTGGATCACATATTTCTTTACTCAGGGCTTCTGTTTAGTTCACCAACAAATGAAACTAGAACAGGAGTGCCCAGTCTTATCTACGAAGGGCTGATGTGGCTGCATGTTTTCATTCCAACAAAGCAGGAGCACTTCTGATTAGTGGTTGAATACTCAGTCCAACTGAGTAAACTAGGGGAAACAAGGTGTCAGCTTGATTGGAATGAAAGCCCACAGCCACACTGCCCCTTCGTAGATAAGATTGGACACTCCTTAGGCAGAAATATGAACCTTTTATGAAGCTGCATTTTAAGCTCAGTTTATTAAAAGGTTTGCATCTTCAGCCCCTCTAGTACAGAAAGCTGAGGTGGGTGATACAGCAAAAATATCATGACTTTTGAAGATATTTTCACAATATATGACAGGTATCATTATTATTTAGTTTCTAGTTTATAGATACTTCGTTTTTCTGAGGTTTTATATATCAGAACAGACCAAATACCCCGGCAGCAGAATAATAAAAGGGCCCATGTCCTACATATTTCTGTCTTTTCCCCAGGGGTGCATTTATAACATTTGTGTGGTTTTATGCACCAAAAACATTCATTATTCACTTTTTTCAGGACATTTTCCAACCTGCCTTTATTGCTTAGCATGAAGAGGCTGACTGTGCCATTAACATTGATTTATGTAAATGTTCTGGTTAAAGACCTTCTCCAGACATCGATGAAACCCCAGATTTGTTACAAGGCTGAAGTCAGCCTCTTATTCATCAGCTTCTTGTTTCTTGTTCGACCTTTAACGTTGCCTCAGGCCTTCTTGCTCAGTTTTCCCATAATTGCTGCACCATTTATGGTGGAATGGGGGAATTTGAACAAGAAGCTTGTGAATAAGACGCTGAATGTAGCTTCGTAGATTTGTTGTACACAGTCAAAGGATAAAACACAAGAAAAATAAATTAGTTGGAACACCATCCAGTTCGATATATGTTTAGTGGCAAACTCCATCTGTTAAGTAAAATTTCCAAAACCTTTTCCTCTGGAAGTTTGGCTGAGACAGTCTGACTTTCCTAAACTGCACTGGTTTTTCTTTGATTTTCACATCCTTTGGTAACTCACAGGCTCATGTTTTCTCCTTTAACTTTTTATTTATTTATGTATTTTATTTTGCCTTCATTTAACCAGGATAATCACACTGAGATTAAAAATCTCTTTTACAAGTGAGCCCTGGCCAAGAAGGTAGCACAAAAAACAACCAACAAAGAAACAGCACCACCACAACCAACAAAATCATATCAGTGTTAAAACCAAATTAAAAACAACAAACAGAATGATACAGATTTTTAACAATCATCTTAAAATCACTTAAGGAAAGAAACTGCTCCAATTTCAAATGTTTTTACAGATCATTCCACCCCTGATGGGGCGGCGATGCCAGCTGCCCATTCCGATGCCATAGCCTTTGCATCCCTACTGTCTCGTTGCCTTATTTTATCTAATTGGAAGCAGGACAGTCATGGACAATCACTGTAATGGAGGGTTTTTTATTTGTTTTCCCTCTCTTTTTTTCTTTTGTATGTGTGTTTGCGTAGGTGTGGTCTTGTTTATTGTATGATTGTATGTGTTGCATGTTGCTTACATTCATAAATTCAATATAAATATTTGAATCTATATACAGATCATTCCATGCAGATGGAGGACTGTAACTAAAAGCTGCCTTGCCATATTCAGCTGTCAGAATATATACTGTCGGAACGTCCAGCCGAATATAACTATTAGAACGTAAATTGTACTGAGACTTATTTTTTGATATGAATGCAGCCAGATATAAAGGAAGCTGACCAATAATCACTTTATAGACAAAAAAATATCCAATTAATTTGTTTTCACACTGAAAGTGAAGGCCAACCAGCCATTTCATAAAGTCCACAGTGATGAGTTAAATACCTAGTGCCTGTTTTAAATCATAATGCAGAATGATAAACTACATTGTTATTGCACATTGTTATTAAAGTATACCTATAAAAATATCACCATAATCTAAAATAAGTAAAAAGGTAGCTTCAGTTTTTTTGGTGCCTGCTGAGTAAAGCAAAAAGATTTTATTCTAAAATAAAATCCCAACTTCAGCTTTAACTTCTTTATCAATTGTTCAACACGCAATTTAAAAGGCAGGTTATCATCTAATATAAAACCCAAGTATTTATTAGATGAAACTAATTCTATTGGTCTGCCCTGCAGCGTGTGAATTTGTGGCAAAGATGATCTCTGTATCACATTTTTAGAGAATCACATATATTGTTTTTTTATCATTACGAACAAGCCTTAGAGAGCTAAGATTGTGCTGACGAGATTGGTTCCTTAGGTTTGTGGTGTATGAAACCCTGGCTGCCTACATCTGTCTTTTTGAGACCGTCACTGATGCACTGCAGTTTAAAAGTAGAAATGCTCAGCCATAGTGTTGACTACTTATTTCACTCATGATGTGTCTTCGAGCGTATAAAAGACACCACATGGACATTCTAACAAGTTTAAAAACTTGAGTTTCACTTGTTCTAATAGGCTGTCCTGAAAAAACAGTCGGGGCTGAAACATTCCTTATAACTTCAGTGTCAGTGGCTGGGGCCACACTTCTGTAGGCTGAATAAGAGGATATATGTAAATGTGTTTCTTTTTGTAACTTCACAGAAACAGGAAATTCAAAACAGGCTGTTTTTGCAGTTTAGTATTCGTTTATGGACTGTACAGAATGGTACATTTTGAAACTTTACAATGTGTACATACCACATCAAACTCTTTCATTTAAAAAAGAAGGAATATTCAGTTTTCCATGACATGAGCTTTTTTAGAAAGTACAATAGAACCACCAGTAGCACTTTATGCCTTCTAGTACGAATACCATTACCTGATCCTCGTGTACAGATCCTAACTATAACCTAACTAATTGATAGGTGACCATAAATACTGATATTTAATTCCACTTTTTAAATATTTTGGTAAAAGCAAGTGTTTTATGAATAATTTCACATTTCAGTGGTTTTAGAGATACACAAGTTTGCAGTGATTTTTTGTTTAACTAGATTTAATGTAATGAAATCCGTGCTAGTACTGTCCTCTTTCTTGAAATAGTAGCACCACAGATTTTTCAATGATTTTTACTACTCAAGTATGATATAATCCCACACTGCCGACATTTACAAAATTGCTTGCTTCAGTGAAGCTCCATCTCCTGGTGCACAATGAAGCGTCACTCAGTAGCACATATCTGTGTCAGAAATTGCTTCGCACTATTAGTATTCTTTATTGTCGATACCGATACTGTATTTAAGTGTCAGTATTGGGTTGATACTAAAAATACTGTCAACATTTATGAGTACAATTTTTTTTATTCAACTTTTCACATACTGCACTGTACAAAATGCAGGTAAACAGGCCTAATGCTCTCGTTTTCATGCAGTTAATCAGTGTTCTATAAGCACTGACAGTATCCACGATATGCTTGTGACATAATTTATTGCAATATGATACAGAAAGCCCACGTTCTACAGGTGTTCCTTTCATGTTGGCCTCTGATGGTGAAATCCAGAGTGAGAGAACCTGCCGTGTGCAAGTCTAAAACGTGTGAATTATCGGCGTGTTGTGAATGTTCTGTTACCAAAAAACTGTTTTTCAGTGCACTGTTAGAATTTTGAAAACTGTGCCTGCAAGGACCGTCAGCCACAAAGAGTGAGATTCCAGTCCTTATTGAGAAAGATAGAAAATAAACAGTTCCTGGTCACGAATTAGGTGTTCCCACTCAGTCAGCTTTGCTTTGTGGCCTTTTTCAACTAAATCTAGCAATTTTATCATTAGTACAGAGCAGGCAATCAGCAAAGCTCAGTGTATTCACATAAAAATACACAGAAAAACTCATGTGAGATGTTTTCTTAAGAAACAATGGCGATGTGGGTTCAGCTCTGGCTGTCATGTTCGGCCTGAAGTTGTGTAACCAGAGTGTTGTAGTACCAAGAAAATAGCTAAGAGAGAAAGGTAACAAGAATACACTTGTATCTAAGTGTGCAGCTTAGATACGTAAAATTAGCAAAAATAACCTGTATTTTATAAAAACACTTTCCTGTAATTCCCTGCAGAGCTGAGATATTCACTGCAAAGATAATCTATACTAGAACATATAAATATACACAGAAAATATGCAAATGCAAATACATTATTAGTGGATAAAATGTAACAACTGAATTATTGAAAAATGAATAATTGAAAAATGCACTTTTCCGTTGAGTCATATAAAGTGTCAGCACATACAGACCATGTTTCTTCAATTAAAATGCAGTTGCAATTATTGTCCACATTTTTTCAGCTTATAAGTCAAAAACACCTGTGCTTAATTTTTGTGAGTGCAGTCTTTTAAGAACTGCTTAAATTCAGGGACATTTTAACTTAGTGGAAACTAGTGAGTATTTTATTGCACACTAGTCATCCTGTCATAATGGAGTCAAACGACAGCTTTCTTTTTCCTTTTCTGCCAGTTGGTACTGTTTTCACTCTAATCATTAGGTTACACAATGCTGCTAAATGATAGTAATAAAACAGCTTATTCATATAAACTAGCATTCGAAAGTTTGAAATTATAATTCAAAAGTTTAACACTGTTTTCAATCAATGTTAAAAATATTGCAGATAAATGTTTGAAATTATTCTAATAAGATGCATCTACAGCTGCACAAATTTCAACTAATTGGTAGAACACTGTGTAAAAAGAAGAGATTAGATGTGCCCAAAATAAGATGATTAGATGATTCCTCAATGACTAGAATGAAGTTATAATAACATTTACATGCAGAATGTTTTACTGACCATTTAATAACTTTTTGGTATTTTCAAAAATGTGAAATTTTGAATAAAGCATCTTATTTTGTGTTAGATTATAGTATTTCGATCTACACATGTAGACATAAGTTAAAATTAAACAAAATAACAGTGAAAATATAGATCTTGTTAGACAAGTTACTCAATATTTACAGTTTCTCACTAAAACTGTAACTGACAACCCACTAGATTTCTGCTTCCCTTAACACGTTTTCCTAAAGAGACTAATGTATGAATGTGATATTATTGTTGGAAAACAGTTGAAAAGAGAGCAGTGAATCAAGCTGTAAACACACTGTAGAGAATGTTTTGTTGCTTTCTGAGAGGACAGTGACAATAAATTTCTCACTGATGTTACCATTTGTGTCACACTCACTGTTTGTATGAGGTTTCTTGCAATGATCCAGGTTTGTTTTATTTTTTACTTAACATTTGTTTGTGCTTGCTTGTGTGTGTGTGTGTGTGTGTGTGTGTGTGTGTGTGTGTGTTTTCAGGTGTGACAGCAAACTCTCTGCACCCAGGTATAGTTATGACAGAAGTTATGAGACACTATAACTGGCTGGTTCGATCGATCTTCAACACGATCGGAATTTTCTTCTTCAAGGTAAGTTCCAGCCAACATTCAATTCTATTCTAGTTTATTGTCATTATACATTACGAGTCATTTGGAATTGCTGTTCAAAAGTTCGGGATCACTGTTCAAAACTTTGGAATCACTGTTCAAAAGTTTGTGATCACTGTTTAAAAGTTTGGAATCACTGTTCCAAAGTTTGTGATCACTGTTTAAAAGTTTGTAATCACTGTTCAAAGGTTTGTGATCACTGTTTAAAAGTTTGGAATCACTGTTCCAAAGTTTGTGATCACTGTTTAAAAGTTTGGAATCACTGTTTAAAAGTTTGGAATCACTGTTCAAAAGTTTGTGATCACTGTTTAAAAGTTTGTAATCACTGTTTAAAAGTTAAAATTGGAGTCAACATTTTCAATTAGGTAAAAGCAATTTTGTCTCAGAAAAGTAAAAAAATATATATTTTCTAATGTATTAATCTTGTGCAAAATAAAAGGCTTCAAATAATTAGCAAGATGACAGGAAACTAGAAAACATTTTAGCTTTATCAAGACAGTCAAACATAGCTGTAAATGATTCTGAAATGTTTCAGAATGAAGAATGAAGTTATGCCATTTTCATTGATTCATTCATTCATCTTCTAAGCCGCTTATTCGCTGGGAGAGCTGGAGCCTATCCCAGCGTTCATTGGGAGAAAGGCAGAAAACACCCTGGACAGGTCACCAGTCCATCACAGGCTCTCATTTTTCAACTGACTAAATTTCAAGGCACAAAACCTGACCAAACTGCAATATATAATGGTATATTATTTATCATTTAATAAACTGTTGCTGATCCCAAAATACTAGAAATGTAAGAAAATAAAACTAAAAAATTACTTTTGATTTCTAGTTTATTTAAATGCACATTACATTGGTTATTCTTTTATATAGAAAAACAACACTAAACATAGCATTTAATAATTTGTAATACTGGAGGCATGTAGGTCAGTTGCAGGTGCAAGATGACTTTATTTGGAGCAGTTAAATCTGCTAGTAACAACAAGGGGGGGGGTCAAAATGCAGGCAGGCATCAGCAGAGTTGTATCCATAGTCAAAAACCAGAAAGACAAGACAAGGGTCAAAACAGGATAACAACAGTCAACATGGCTTAGTGCTTAGGGTAACCTCAAACAACTTAACCCAACAAAGGGATATATAAAAGGGGGTTTATGAGTCCCAAATCACTTGCAGGTGTGCAAGTGTGGTGTGAGTGGGTGGAGCCAGGGAGAGTCCAAGTGGAGGAGGGAGACAACATGACATTATTTCAAAACTTAATATGATTTCAAACTTTTGAACGATGGTGTGCACACCCAACAGCACTGAGTATAATGAAATGTTTTCAGGCTGTTCTTAAATGGACAGATGTATACAAAATCTGTGCAATGCAACTATGCAATCACTATGAGAGCAATTACAGCATGAATTACAGAGTGAATTTGTCCTTGGACTGTCATTAAAAGGTTTCATCATATTGAGCAGTTCCCAGCAGAATTAACACATTCAGATGTTTCCCAAGACACATGGCTTTGCAGACTCAAAGAGCGAGAATGTCAGAATGATATAGGAACAGATGGAACTGTGTTACAGACCTTTGTAATAAGGAAAGGCACGATCACTACAGTCACTAAAGAGGTTTATTGCTTTGCTTCACATACTGCAGCAATTTAGAGGCTGAGGTCAAGAACAAAGTGATCTAAAGCAATCCGATCCATTCATGACCAAAATAAAACAAACACAGCTTTGTGCTATTTCAGTCTTGTACCTGTCAGCCAGCCAGATTTTCCATTCTCATTCTCATGCCTTACATATTAGTTTCATGGTAGTTACTGTATATTTGATAGTATTGTACACTTCAAAGTCAGCTTTATCGTTCAACAACATTCCTTCTTACCACAGCTGTTTAGTGAAGAATGAAATATAGTTCCTTTGGGACACTGTGGTACATTTACATAAGGAATTCCACATGTTCCATATACTTTTTTTAAAATATCTGCATAATTCAGTCTTTGAGATGTAAACAAGGTCATACAGAGTGGTCTATTGTGAAATGGTTCATTATAGAGAAACTTACTGCCTCAGATGTTCTTTACAGTGGTGGTGATAGGAGCCAGGGGTCGCAGTGTCTGCAACACAAAGCTTTTTATTTACTATCCAAAACCAGCAGTGAACCCACACGTCTTTTAGGTTCTTATATGCAATGTCGATGTTTTCCATGGGGAATATTTTGCCTTATAACTTTTCACTGTGAATGATTTGAAAACAATATGTTTTTTGGCCAAAAACCTCTCTCAAAACTATCATAAAGCAGTGTCTCAGGCATCAGGCAGTGTACTGATAGCCATTTCATGTAATAACCTTTTGTGAAAGCGTTGAGTATTTCACCACAGCATAACTAAGATAAAGATTTAGAAATTTAGATATGAATGAAAACACCCATTCATAATTTCTGTGATGCGATATACTCCAAAACTAAAAAGAGAAGACCTCACATTGGAATTTTATCACAACACATTATAAAATTTTATAAGAAAGATGCTTTTCAGGATTACAGGAACATAACAAGGAAATATGACTAAAAGAATGAATAAAAATAATCACAACAGGTTACCTTGTTCACACAAACATACTTAACCTCACACGTAAAGACTTAACTAAGGCAAAAGCTTAAAGAAATTTGCAGGCTTGAGAAGAGGGAGAGAAAGAGAGAGAGAGAGAGAGATAGATGGTGACAGGTGTCTTCCCTACAGACACACGGACAGACTTAATCAAAGCAGTTGTAGCTTCATTCATATTATATGTAAATTAAACAATCTATATACAAATGCTGATTCATCATTACAAATCAAAACTATTATAATGCAGACCTCTGGGTGACTCTGGACAAAGAAGCTACACTGAACTTCTGTTTAGTTGGACAGCTGTAAGAAAAACATCAGCATGAGTGCTTAAATCTTGTAAAGTCTCAGAAAAGAAGTAATGGAAAGGTTGGGTGGCTTGTAGTCGTCTGGCCTATATGTGACTTTATGCCACATAGAACAGGCATGTATAGGCCATACTGAGGAGAGGTCACCAGTACACCACTCAGACAGTATGCTGTCCTTCAACAATAACATCAAGGCTCCTGAAAAGCACAAAAAACCTCCAATCTCTAATAGATCATCATGATCATGACACAACAATACAGCAAAGAGATCTCGTGTCCAAGCCCTGATACCAGAAAACGATGCATATGACTAAAACATGATTAGGCGTACCTAAATTGGTTATTAAAATTATGATTATTGAGATGGCATGTGAATGTACATAAACGAGAAAGGATATTGAATGGGGGAATCTTCAATATCCAATCACTTTTCCCTTCAAGATGAAATGGGATCATCCATTCCATGGCAGTTTGTGTGACATCTAGGGAGCGATAACAGATATCTCCGTACCAAGTATGAGAACAAGTGTCTCTTCATCTCAGCAGTGGAAATGGTGGGGCCTTTTGCACACCACTCCCCATTCAAGACTCTCCCAGCTCTCTGTCATGTCCACCGTGGGTTTCTTCATGACACCTGTCAATCAGCCATCTCTCAAAGATCTTCAGCATCTTGTCCTCATAGGCAGGGCTCACTACAGGACAAGAATTTCCCAAGACAAAAGACGCACACAGGGGTAGTGTTGTAGTACTCGAGTTCAGTCTCATAACCATAAACCAGTCTTGGCCACTCCTGGTCTCTGTCTTGATTCGGACTCGACTACTAAAATTCTTTGTATTGACTCGAACTCAATATGTCCCGGTCTTGGTCCTGACTCGGACTCGGCTCTAGCGGTCTTGACTACAACACTACGCTGATGTATAATTATTAACCACAAAATGCCCACCATCTCCACTCTTACAGAGACTAGGCTTTATTCTTCTGTCTCACACAGGGTTCATGTTCATGGCCCTTTTACTCGTGTCAAAGTTCAGTTTTTCAGAACAGGAGTTCCTCACAGCACAGCAATGACCTCACTTTTGCAATCTGCAATTAATGAGCTAAACAACAAGTGAAATAAATCACAAAAGTAAGGACACAACAAGAAAGAAAAGTCCCAAAGTAAAACTAAATAGATATGACAGAAGTTTAGTTGACACACTGGCTCATTATAGTACTCTTAATGGCAGACAAACACTAAAGGAAAACCATCGCAGCTGCTGGTAACAGCCTTGATTTCTGTGTCTGTGCTTTTAAGCTATCAAAGCAGTGAAAACTTGGCAAAGTCTTCTGGTTAAGTCTCAGCAGAGCAGGACCTCACTGAAAATACCTTAATCCGCCTGACAATTACACACTAGTTAATAAATCAGCTAAACAAACTGATATCAATAAACTACATAATTGATATTGCAGTGTGACACAAAGAAATGTGTTAATCTACATCTTTCAAATTTCTGATATAAAAGAGAGGCTTAAATGAAAGTGGCTTCTATGACTGTAATCTGCTTAGCGTCAGCCTCTGATTAGACACCGTTTACATTCTAGAAGAGCAGACTGTTTATAAGCAAAGCTGAATTGTCTTGTCAAACCAAAGAGTTATATAGTGTAGCGTTTGGAGGCAGAGCAGGCCACTTGAGCCCTGAGATAATGTGTGTAAGCTTCCTCCCCTGATTAAAGACAGCTGGGACTGATTTAATGGAGGAGCTAGGACACTTTAAAACAAAAAGACTGCGATCTGGAGAGCACTCTATGTAAATGCGAGTTGTAAGTAGCCTTAGCAGGCTTGATTTTCAGTTTAAGTTTCATCGTTGTCCCTCATATTTAAAGAACATTTATGTTTTGCACCCATGTTTGACCCCCCTGTACCCAGGCCCACGACATAATTGGCTCTGAGAAATATAGGCTCTCCAAAATAGTCCGAGCATAAACCACCACTTGTTTGTCTCTTTAAAACAGACAGATAAACTAGTCCAATAAGCAAATAAACTAGTAGTCATTCTGAGTCACCTAGTTATGTGGCGCCACATGAGGCAAACCGAAATAGCTACATTTGAGCAACTCAGCCTCACTTAAGCAACTCAGCCTCACTCAGTCTGAGGTGTTTGCAACACCATGACAGGCCGGCCTGGGCCACTGGGCTGTCTTTATGTTCTGCTCAAACTGCAGCTTACATTCCAGCAGCATTGACTCCAGCCTGGAGGTCATAGCAAGATGGAGGAAGCAGGAGGAGTGAGAAACAGCCTCTCTTACTGCTTACTTAGCTGCTCCTCCAGCTCCAGGACAAGTGTCTTTTACATGCATTTTTAATCCCAGTCAGCACATCGGTCTCCTATGGAGAGCCCCGGTTCTGAGGGTGTGCACATTCAAATTCAAAAATCCCGTAATTAAATACAAAACAGCAAAAAGTGAATAAAATTCAGTTCAGTTACTGAGTCCTCTAATCATTCCTTGCTTTACTGACTCTTTAAATCATTCCCTGATTACTGACTCCATCTTTAAAAATTAAATCTAACATTTTAAACTCTCTACATATGTATCTTTAGAATTTGTTGAGAGAAAAAGACCAAGGATAGAAGTAAATGCCAGAATACAGAATCCTTGTTTCTACGCTCATTGTCCATTTTATCAGCTCCACTTACTATATAGGAGTTCTACAATTACAGACTGTAGTCCATCTGTTTCTCTGCATACTTTCTTAGCCCCCTTTCACCCTGTTCTTCAGTGGTCAAGACCCCCATGGACCCTCACAGAGCAGGTACTATTTGGGTGGTGGATCATTCTCAGCACTGCAGTGACACTGACATGGTGATGGGGTGTTAGTGTGTGTTGTGCTGGTCTGAGTGGATCAGACACAGCAGTGCTGCTGGAGTTTTTAAACACCTCAGTGTCACTGCTGGACTGAGAATAGTCCACCAATCAAAACTATCCAGCCAACAGTGTCCTGTGGGCAGCGTCCTGTGACCACTGATGAAGGACTAGAGGATGACCAACACAAACTGTGCAGCAGCAGATGAGCTATCGTCTCTGACTACATCTACAAGGTGGACTGACAAGGTAGGAGTGTCTAATAGAGTGGACAGTGAGTGTAAGGGTCCATGGTTGTCTTGACCACTGAAGTACAGGGTAAAAGGGGGCTAACAAAGTATGCAGAGAAACAGATGGACTACAGTCTGTAACTGTAGAACTACAAAGTGCACCTTTATAGTAAGTGGAGCTGATAAAATGGACAAAGAATGTAGAAACAAGGAGGTGGTCATAATGTTATGCCTGATCGGTGTATTTATATGTCATGTTGATGATGGTAAAATAGTGTTAAATCTGAAAACCTTTCTTTGGGGACTGTTTTGCCTCATATACTACATGTACTTCTCCACTATGAATGTATTTTTAAAAATGCAATTTAGGCTAAACCCTTATCACAAAACTATCATAAAACAATGCCTCAGTCATTAGATAGAGTATTTATGTGAGGGAGCTTTTGAGGCATTAAACTCTTCAGACATCTTGTTCCAGTCACCACGACTGTGAACAATTCTGGTAAGTTTCTCTAGAATGGAGCATTTCACATCAAACAACTCTGAATGACTTTGTTTACACCTTAACCATTTCAATATGCAGAAAAATCGGTCAAATTCCCTTTTAATCTTTGTGTCACATTTGTAGCATGTATTTGATTAACGAGCCATTGGGCAGTGGCTGTATTCTGTCTATAAACATTTATGGATGGACAACACTGTAGAATAGAAGTTTTCACAGGCCCTGCCTGATCGCTGTGGACACCAGAAGACATTACGGCAAACGACAGTCACTGGAACTACATTTTTACTGCTCCAGTGCTTGAAAGTTGCATAAAACTAAAATCATAGTGGTGTGTATATGCAGATATACCATATACTCAACACATATTCTGAACATCTACAATCAAAGCTGTGTGTTTGTGTCCATATCTCTGTCCTACAGTCCTCTGAGGAAGGTGCGGTCAGTGCGATATACTGTGCAGTAGCAGAAGAGACGGAGGGGATCACGGGGAAATATTTCGACAGTGACTGCTCCCTCGTCCTCCCGGCTCCACTGGCCAGAGACCCTGCTTTAGCAACCAAAGCCTTCGAGTACTGTGAGAGGCTGACAGCGAAGCTTTAATCCACTGGAGTACCAGCACACCTGCTAGTCTATCACCATAGCACAGTACAGCACCTGTAACTGCCAAGAAAGATTAGAAGTTCTAGTGGATTTCAGGAAAGATTATAAAGACTTAGTGTTTGTGTGATTTGTTAAATTTATTGTTTTTAATACAAGAAACATGATAAACTGCAAATACATTACATGCAAACATGAATACAAATGCTGTTTAATAATATTTGTGTGTCTTGAGGAAATAAATTCTTCATATATTACTTTGGCTGTTGTCATTAAGGAGTCTTATTTATTATGTATAATTTTAGTGTACTTTTTTGTCTATACCATTTGAAAAAGCCAGCTAGGCCTGTCATGATCATGCAATTTTGTAATAATAGGTTTTAACTTAAATAATTAATGGATAAATTAATTATTGGATAAAGCATTGGCCCTATCGTCAGGAGAGGGTTTCCGTAAGGAGATTTCAAGTCAATCCCCAATGATGCCACAGTCAAACATAGTGTTATGACCCTATGGGTCATAGTTATTTTGTAGTGTGTCTTCTGTATTTATTGCATAGCTGAGGGAAGATACACTGAGCCACCACCAGGGGGAGCCGCCAATAAAAGAGAGACGCCCAAGAGGAAGTGGGGGTGCTTTTGCTTCTGGCGTGGCTTCCGTTGTGTTCCCAGTTCCCTGCAGTCATTTGAGTGACACTACTGCTGTAGAGCTGTGTTGGTGTGAGAGTTTGGCTGCTGGTGTATGGTTTATTGGTGTTTTGCTGTTTGTCGTTGAGATTTTTGTAAAAGCTTGCTCATGCCGTTACACTTTCACTGAAGTATACTGTAAACACTCAGCTACCGTGGCTGCCCAGACAATAGCCAGACGTCAAAAACAGCATAATCAACCTTGATCTCTCCGCATGAGTACATTGTAATGGTTTGAGGAAACCGATTGCCTTGAACCACTGAAGCTCAGTAACTAAAATCATTTGACCCTAAATAATTCCCTGAACTGAGTATTTAAAAAGCAAACTTAATTTGTAGTTTTGATCTTAAAATTAATGAGCATTTTGGACTCATACACAACAGTTGTACTAACTTATTAAAATGAAGTAATTGAGACTTGTCATATGAAGGTAAATTCATTGTCATGACACAAAAACTCCCTCCCAAGTTAAATTGACTTTCTAAATAGATTTAAAAATGGCTGTAATAGCTTTCAGGTTTTATTGCAGCAACTTACTGTAATTAAGAAAAGCAATTACGTTAACACTTTAAATGGCCAGGAGAAAGTTTTACTACACACTTCTATAGCCTAGGAATAACACTATAGTTCATGTTGTTACTGATTGATAAGCCTTAATTTTTAATAAGTCTGGGATTTTAACAGGTTGAACCATTTAACTTTAAAATACTCAGGACTAGGGCTGGGAGTCAATCCTGAAAAGAAGCTTCAGACTCAATTCCACACCAAGACATTCAGGTTTTCCTGTATCCACATCTTAGCAGTCTATCTGAAAAATACATCCTTCCACAGCTCACACATCAATAATCCAGCTGTATTTTACTTTAAACAAACTGGAAAACAAAGTAACGTCTAGTACTTGTAACAAAAAATTGCCTTACCGTCAAACAACACTGCCTGTGCCAAAATATCTACCCAACTGAAAGAGGTTACAGAGGAGAATCAGGTACAACTTAATGTACTGTAGCTAGCATCAGCTGTCTAAATTTCTTTCCTAAGTAAATAAGTAAATGTAATTAATATTGTACTCTTTATTTTGCCAGATGTCCTTCTCTGTGTCCGCTATGTTTTTGAAATTGAGTTTTTTATGAGGAATTGACTCTTGGAATAAACTCCATTGATTTCCTTAATTTGGAGTTGAAATTGAATGTAATAGTGGGTTAAATAAGGTGGAAAGACACACTCAGTATGCAAATAAATTATGCTATGACCAATAGGAAATATGTAAGTTTTACTTAACAAGTTTTTTATTGAGTAAATTGCACAAGAGAGAAATGGTTAAAAATAATCACGGTGTTGGCAACAGACTAAACTAAATTGCAAAAAGTTTATTCAAATCAAAGATCTCATTTGAATTTGAATATCAAAATTATCAAAAAAAAAATCCGAAACATTTAAATATATAAATTTATGTAGCCTATCATATAAATTCACTGATACAAACATTCCAACATTCCATCAGCTCACCTGCTGAATCAGGTGAAATATGGCTAAAACATTTTTGGCTTAAAACATTAGAATTCATTCTGCATGTGCTGAGATGGCCAGCTACTCCTTATAGATCCCACTTAGTCTATGCATTTGGCAACCATCAATTAATACAGGTCATTATGAATAGTCATCATGACTAAAACTAGGACTAGTACATGGAGTATAGCCTATCTTCCATTACAAGTGTGCATACATAGTTGTTTTACTCATACATGCTCACTGCCACCCTCTGAAGGTGTTATTAACAAACATCATAAAAAAAAATTACTGACTGCTGCGCTCTAAATGTGTTATAGAACCAACTCAAAAGTTTTAATTGTTTGATTAGACACATGACATCTAAATAAATCAGTTTTCTGCTTAGTTTCATTTACATGCTTTAGCCTTAACCCTGCTGATGAAAACACTTTTGGTTTCTCTGTCCTTACAGACGTAACCTCTGCTGAATTTTGCACTGACTTTCTCATCTCTGTCCTTCAAGTGTGGCACGTCAGGTATTTTCAAGCTGCATGCACTAAAAGAGCCTGACAAGGTATTGCACCCACCTGATTCATTAGAAGAATCTTCATCTTCATCATCTTAAACCGATTAATCCAGCTAGGGTTGCGGTAGCAGCTGGGAGAGCAGAGAATCCCAGACGACTCTGTCCTCTGTAACTTCATCCAGCTCATTCCGGGAGACCCCGAGCCACTTCCAGGGCAACTTGGAGATATAATCCCTACGACAGGGTCCTAGGATGATCTTAGGGTCTCGACCCAGTAGGCTGTGCCTGGTAAACCTCCAACGGGAGGCGGCCAGGGGGCATCCTGATCAGATGCATGGTCCCCCTATGTTGCCTTTTCAGGCGGAGCTCCCTAGACCACACAAGCCCTTCTGCCATGACAAGGCCCTGATCCAAGAGGGCTCATTGGAAAAATTTACCAAAATTTACCAGATAAAGCTGCTTCAGCTTGCACATATAGCTTATTTTGTCATCCTGTTGCATTTTTTAGAGATTGGTTCTTTAAAACGTGACCACATCAATAGATATGTGTTACGTTTTCTTGACAATAAAGGATGTTGTGACATTTCAATACCTGGATTAATGACAGATCTTACTGGCTCATTATAGCACATTGTCAAAGACTCCTAAAACACAACCTGTGTGAAGTCTAGTCCACCTGACTGATTCAGGTAGCCTGATAGCAAGTGCTGCCACAGCACTTTACTGTGTGCAATATCTCAACCCACCATGCGTAGTATATTCACTGCGGATCATTGTCAACATGTTTACCACCATTATGTGCAATTATGTCAAGTGCAATATTTCTCCATTTATTACTGTTTATTTATTTGCTATTTTATTCACTGTGCAATAGTCACTACAATACATACATTTCTACATTTCTAAATTTAAATTTAATACTTTGTATATTTTTCTTGTAATTTTTGTACATATACATATATCTTTATATTTTTATTGTTTATTCTATTTTATATATTGTTTGTATATTTCCTGCTGCTCTGTCTTCTGTGCTGCTGTAACACCGCAAATTTCCCCGTTGTGGGATTAATAAAGGATTATCTCTCTCTCTAATGTGCTTTGCAGTGACACTAGCGGATCCCACTGGAAAATCAGTGACTGTTCATAATGCTCGGCCTGCTACATATACATGTACCTGTATCAAGATGTCAGCGTGTTCTTGGTCAGTCTAGGCAACAAAGACAACGCCATTAAGTGTGTCTGCATTGTTACCAATGTCACAAAGTGTCCTTTAATTTGCACTGCTGAATGAAATCATTCACTGGCCTCATCTCTCAGAAGGAGTGTGGGCTTTTTATGGGAAGAGTTGGAACGCCCTGTTGCTGACTATTCACATTATCTGAAAAGTTGAGCTTTGTCCACATCGCGTTGGTGTCATTATTCAGAATTCAACATGTTCTTGGTTTTCATACTGATTGCTTCTAATCTTTTTTACTGAACTCTTCACCCCTTCCATAAAAAACATGATGATTTTAATATGCTTTAGATTTTTTCATTTCAGCTGTTTCCATATTACCTTTCTTTCTCCCTTCACTCTGTCCTAACACAGAAACTCACTGAATTTAATACTTTTTTCAACACTTTTTACATTTCATTTAAACTCACTGAACTGACTCTGAACTTACTCTTTGTCCACGTATGCATTTTTTTTCAATACTTCATCCTACCATAGAAAACCACTGATTTCACTGCTTCTTGAATTTTTGAGCCTCACCCAACAAATTTGTTATAAAGATTCATCTTTTGACTTTAAAACATGTGACTGTATTTCATACTGTTAAAGGGCCCATATTACCAAAAACAGCCTTAATTCACGTTTTACATGACCATTTTCTAGCCTCTCTTTATCGTTTAGCGTTGAACAGGCTGTTTTTTAAAGTATGATATATGTAAATGACCTCTGTTCTGATTGGTTATGCTCTATTGCACCTCATTTATGAAGCAGTTGGAGCTACAACACTCCTTATAACATCAATGTGAATGTTCAAGGCTAAAACAGAATCCTTATTTGCCATATAACAGATGTACAAGGAGCTTCTCTTAGTGCAGGTGTCAATATAAAATTAAATCCAATAAAGTAAATATAAAAAAGATATACCATGTATAGGCTACATAAAGAAGACACATATATACATACATACAGTATGAACAGGTAAAGAAAAGCAGTGAATATATGTTTAAGTATATATATATACAATATGTATATTTGAAAAAGTTAAAGTACATGTGTGCACTAACTAGAGGAAAATGGGAAATGTTCTTATTCAAAAGGTTTATGACATGGTATACACAGTGAATACAGTGGTTATGTACAATACAATGTGTGTAATACAGTGTATGTATGGATATTTAAAGCAGAAGGATGTGAGATGAGCCCTTATTTAGGAGGAAAATGTCTGAGGTTGTCACATCAGTTTTGTAAAATTCCTGGACATGAGTGGTTTGACTTTTTACTAAATGTAGTGGATTAATGGTGGTGCTCACAGTGCAGTCTAAGATAGATAGATGTCAGTTCAGCTACA